CAACTGAAGCCCACGGTTTGGATTTTAGAATCAGGTAGAGATACATGATCTACATCTAGTTTGTTTCTGCCCTGTGACATCATATTCTTACCTTGGGTTCTGTTTCCTGGTCTCTCCAGATTTTGACAAAATGTTGGGATAGTGAACAGAATGGTAAAAACTAGCTTGTATAAATAATGACCCCTTTCCATCTATTCTAGAGAATGAATGTTTTTGTTTTCAAAACATGTGTTATGATAAAACTCTATTTGTCATTCTTACCATTGTTGTGAAAACTAACTTTTGAGTACTGACCAGTACAGAGACATAATTTTTTTTTGAAATTTTGAAGCCATAGAAGAAACTTTTTTGGAAACGGACATTTCGTAAATAATTGAAATGTATGCAGTGCTTACTTCCTTATTGAGCCTAAACTTACTTTTAACAATATATAGTGCATTGGATTGGATCCAACCAGCTTTTCAGTTGGTGAAAAAGGATGAAGGGATTCTCCTTTGAGTACAGCCAAAAAAGGGGGAGAAAAACACAACCCTGCACGAGAAAGGTAACCAACAAGGCTGGAAAAAAGAAAAAGAAAGTAAAATATAACTATGCACGTAGTGCAAAGTACAAAATATCGTATATAATTTAATAATAAATTCAGGTGCTGAAATATCATTTAAAAACAATCCTGTGGTTCAGCATATAAGTACCCAATCCCAATATAATGTCCATTTATGTAAATATCGGTTTAAAAGTACATATTGTCTCCATATGCAAACGCTCCTTTAATTTAACAAAAACATACATAAAACTGATGATACACAGAATGGACCTTACTCACACAAAGATGTTCACCGTTGGAGTAAAATGGTGTCAACTTTTCATGTGATACAACACAATTCTTTTCCAGTTGTACCTGAGCACTCCATTGGAGCTTTGAGCATTTCAGATGGGACCTGAGATGATCCGTGGGCCAAGGAAATATTTTACATCTTGATGAGTTGCCCATGTTGTATCACAAGAAAATTGATGCGCATGGTCTTCACGTTGTCTGAATAGAGGAACTGCATGCATTTTGCATACGTGTACAGCTTCAGTCAATGTAAAACCAGGACTGGAAAATCCAGTTGTTAGTTTACCCATACCAAAGTTGTATGTGCATACAAATACTCATAGTGCTCCTTTTCAGAGAAAATAGCCACACAGATGGGAAGCAGTGTGTTTCTGACAGTGCAGTTGTTGGCTTCTTGTTTCGTGTGACATAATACCTGGAAAGGGCTTGTTTTGTAACATTTAAATGTGGGTATTTCTATGACCCAGATTTAAAAAGCTGTTTCAGTTATCCTTGAACCAGCTTTATCTATTTTGAGTTCATTAGTATCTGAAATCTAAGTAAGGGATACATCTCATTCACAATTTTCATTTATTGGCATTTTCCAACATAATTTTTAATAAAGGAAGATTCATATTAGGGGTGTGCATTCGGATATTTCCAAGCTATGATTGATTATACTTGACATTTGTTTTTGTTTTTCATCTAGACTTGGAGTTATCTAAAATTGCAAAAGGCACTCCTGAAATTTCAGGATTCCTGAAATTTATATCCTGATATTTAAAAAAAAAGTTATTTTAGGTTCTATTAAAAACAGTGATGGTAGACCTGTCCTCTGGAGTCTGGATGCCATATCTACGAATTCCTAATATTCCTAATTTTCTTTTAAATAAGCAATGATAATCAACCAAATGGATTCATGAAATGGTTTCAATACTCCTGAAATTTCAGGGTAACAGTAATCATGACCTTTCTGAAATAATGAAATGAAATTAAAATGAAAAATATTTGAAGTGCACACCCCTAATTCATATGTGTCACTGATGAGTCAGATATTGGTATTCTGAAAGTCCTGGAGACTACTGCCATACCTTTATCCGAGTCACATGTTGGCACATATAATTCCTTCCAATGTTATGCTTTTTCTTACTTTAGCAACCTCTAGAACATGTGAGTGTGTTGGTGGGGAAGGAGCTATTAACATGGGAAGGGGACTTGAGTGTACTTAGAGGCTCCATTTTAAAGTACTTTTGTAGGCGTTGATGAGAAAAATAGGCGACCTTAGGATATCAGTCGTCTATTTCCTGTGGCTGCAGGTTACCACAGTTTGTTAGTGCAAAGGCGGCATTATCAGGCGGTAACTGCAGCCCCTTCTCCAAGAATATATTCCTGTGTTCAGTGAGAGAGGGGAAGCATATGAATCCACAGTGGACGGAGAAAAGTGGATTAAAAGGTCTGCAAATAAATACCAAATGTGCAGCACATTCAGTTATGCTGTTTGGAAGAGATCTGCCTGAACAGTTCACTTAATATCTACTTATTTAAAACATTTCTATGCAACCTTTTCACCCAGCATAGCCTCTCTCAAGACAGCAAACCGTCAAGTATGTTGCGGGTTGGGGCCATAAAGGGGTCATGTAAGGTATAACTTAGAAGGAAAGATGTTCTTTTGCTTCCTCTTGGTTTATCCAGAGCGCACTTCTACTCCAGATGTATTGGCACAAAACAATGCAAGAAGTGGAAGGTACAGCTTATAAATGCTGGCTTTTGAAAGCCAGCGTGGTGTACTGGTTAAGAGTGGCGGAGTCTAATCTGGAGCACTGGGTTTGATTCCGCACTCCTCCACGTGAAGTCTGCTGGGTGACCTTGGGCCAGTCTCAGTTCTCTCAGAACTCTCTCAGCCCCACCTACCTCACAAGATGCCTGACCGTTGTGGGGAAGGGGAACAATTGTAAGCCACTTGGAGACTCCTTAGGGTAGAGAATAGTGGGGTATATAAACCAACTCTTCTTCATCTGTGGCAAATCGTCACAGGTCCTTGTGAGCAGCTGTCAGATAGAAACGTGTCCAATAGTGATCCCTAGAGTGGTTCCTGTGGATATCATTGTCCCCACCGATGGGTTTCTTGGCACCCATTTGCTTCTTTAAAGGTTCTCTTCCTTCAAATAAATAAACAGTTGCACCTTTCCTCTTCCTCTTTGTATTACTTCAGAAAAGCCCAGCAGGTACCACCTTTGTGTCTGGAGGGGGTACCATAGAATCATAGAGTTGGAAGGGACCTCCAAAGTCATCTAGTCCAACCCCCTGCACAATGCAGAAAATTCACAAATACCTCCCCCCCCCACACCCCCAGGGACTGCTATTCCATGCCCAGAAGATGACAAAAACCCCTCCAGGATCCCCAGCTAACTGACCCGGAGAAAAATTGCTTCCTGACCCCAAAGTGGTGATCAGCATTTCCCTGGACGTGTAAGAAAGGGCCACAAGAACTAAGCACTGAGGCAACCCTTCCTGCCCTCCCTCTCATGCTTAAGTTCACAGAATCAGCATTGCTGTCAGATGGCCATCTAGCCTCTGTTTGAAAACCTCCAAAAGGAGAGCCCACTACCTCCTGAGGAAGCCTGTTCCACTGAGGAACCACTCAGAAATAACTACATCAATAGCTTGGAAACTCTTCATCTTTTATTATTGGCCCCAGCACTCCATGGCAGCCATTTTGTGATAGTGCCCATTCCCTGTTCTCAAAATTCAAAATTGCCCACAGGATCAAGGAGAGTGGGGACGAGGGTAGGGCATCAATTGATTGATCTATATAAGCTGATCTCTGAAAAAAACTGATGGGAGTCGTTTCTAAGAAACTAAACTTGCAACTTCCTGTCTTGAATACAGTAATCATTTGCTTAAATAAACAGATTTTAACCTGTTGACGTTATAATTCTAAATAATAGAATATAATTGCTTCACCATATTTGAAATTCTTGTGATTTTTAAAAATTGTACCTGATTATGTCATTTAATATTAATGGTTAAAGATTGCAAATAACTCTTATTCCCTATTGATTTCTTTTCTTTTTAGGGGGATACCTCTTATGTGAAGGACCGCTGGTGTGTGTTTGATGGATTCATGGTGTTTTGTCTTTGGGTATCATTAGTTTTACAGGTAATGATATTGTATTAGAAAGAACACTAGAATATAATTTATACATCCAGCTAAGTCCTGGATACTGTTTAAAGATTTTTTTTTTAAAGGCAGTACAATCCTATGGGGAGTTATTGGAATTAATGATTTTACAGTGGAGTAATTCGATTATTATTTAAAACATTTTAATGCCACCTTTCCACCCAACTTAGGTTCTCCAAGACAGCAAATAATCAAAAACATTAAAAAGAACTTTAAAAATACATGTTTATATTAAAAAAAAACCCCTAAACAAAACACATTAATGGGAAGGAGGGTAAGTGTTGGAACAACCATAGGTGGAAGACAATGATAGAGTAATTCTGCATAGGATTGGCCTCGGAGAATCTGTCCTCCTATTGTAGCCAACACCTGTCTTCAGCAGTGTGGCTCGTATTCCTCAGAGTCAAGCCAAGATGGAAGATTCTCTAGGTCCAGGCAGTGGTCTTCAGGGGGTGAAGCTGTGCTTTCCTCTCCTCTTTCATTATTCTGCTGCAGCTTGGGGGTTGCACAATTATTTTCATAACCATTAATAGCAAAAAACAGCAAGAGACTGTTTCTTGACAGCAGTAAATAGCTACCTATAATTCTGAGATATCCAGTTATATCTCAGTTTTGGTCTTCTGTTGTAGAGCACTTTTAAAGAGAAAGTGCTTTTCCTGATTTTTACAGTGGATGACGAAGAATGAAAGAAAAAGTACACTAAATTCTGGCATTGCTTTCTGCAATGTTCCATTTCAGTTGCTGTATGTGGCTGTAGCTAGGACCCCGGAAGGATCCATAGGAATAGATCTGCACCCCAGTTTTAAGATGGTGGGTTGGATCTGGACTAAGTTGGCAGTTTCCGCTGATTCCCTCCTGCTTTGCAAACTTCCCTCATATCATTCTTCAGAGTCCCCTACTCCCAGGAGACCGGTGGGCAACAGTGGGAGGCAGGAATTACAAGATTAGTTTCTGAAGTATTGTTAAATGTATTGTTTAAGGGTATAGAAACCATCCTTTAATCGAGTATATTAAAACATGGCTATTGAAAATACTTCTCATGTATCCAACAAACTGCCAGTGGAAGGGGCAAGGATTTTCCCTGCATTCCTCTCTTTCCTGCGGCTCCTTTCGGCCAATGAAAAGATTTTACTGGGGATGCAGGACCTGCATAGACAAATCACTGAGTAGGTCTGGAGGCTGCAGTGAGGGGGAGGAACAGGTTGAAATCACCGGCAGTGGTTGGATACAGACTGATGGTGGTGGAGGAGGAAAGTACTGTTAAGTCACAGCTGACTTATGGCAACCCCACAGGGTTTTCAAGGCAAGAGATGGTTTCTTCAGAGGTGGTTTGCCATTGCCTGCCTCTGTGTCACAACCCTGGTATTCCTTGGAGGTCTCCCATCCAGATAGTAGCCAGGGCCGACCCTGCATAACTTCTGATGAGATCAGGCTAGTCTGGGCTATCCAGGGCAGGATGGATACAAGCTACCCTTCTGATTCAGTGTAGCTTTTTAAAAACCATAAAAACCATAATCTTATGATAAGAGAAATCAGAGGGAAAAAGGCATTCCTTTCTTTCCCCATAGGTGTTTGAAATTGCTGAGATTGTTGATCAGATGTCACCATGGGGCATGTTGAGGATACCAAGGCCTCTTATTATGATTCGAGCATTCCGCATCTATTTCCGTTTTGAGCTGCCAAGAACCCGGATAACCAACATTTTAAAGTAAGTGGTTCATTTATTTTTTGTTCTGATGTGTTGTTTTGCCAAATCTAAGCATGCGTATAGATCAAGATCGGTAGCTGCATTAGTCTGTATCAGGGGTCATTTCATAGAAAAAGAGCTAGGGGAACTCATTAGCATAACTCATTAGCATATGCCACACCCCCTGACATCAGGGGCCCGGCGGTGGACCTGCAAGGCCAGCGGGAGTGCGAGGAAGCCCCGCCAAGGCCCTCCCTGGCCCCAGGCAGGCAGGGGTGGGGAGAGGCGGGGAGGAAGCAACTTACCCTCCCTCTTCTCCTGCCTCCTCCTGGCTGAATGAGGGCTGGAAGCGGGGCGTTCCCCCCCGAAATGACCTCTGGTCTGTATGAGTGTGTAAGCATGAGTATGTACGAGTGTATAAATGGGGGGGGGAGAGAAGTACCATTTATTCATTTATTGCCGTATATAGTTCCAGGTGGTCAACCCTGTTGTTCTGAAGCAGAACAAATTTAGAGTCCAGCAGCACCTTTAAGACCAACAAAGGTTTATTCATATGAGCTTTCGTGTGCATGCGCACTTCCTCAGATACATTGGAAAGGAAGCTAGAGTTCAGACTTAAAGACAGAGGTTGAACAGCAAATTAACATGCAACATGATGAAGATGCTTTAAGATATGCAAAACCAAAACCAAATAACAAGCTAAGGTTATATGGTCAAGAGTTTATTGCTGTGTTTATCCTAATCATAAACCAAATCCTAACCAAATAATCATGCATTACTTAATTTCAGATTGATGTGGATTATAAATTGTGAATGGCTAGAAACATGGTACAGGGGCCTTTAAAAATATTGATCTCTCCAACATATTTTCAGGAGTGGAGACATTTATATATATAGGGACAAAGAGTGCTACCAGGTCTGAGATGGTGTGATCTAGATCAGCAGTAGCCAAAGTTCCTATTTAAAGGTCCTTATTTTTAGCTACTTTTGCACACTGACTTTCTTTGTTTTTGAGTGACTAGGGGTCTGTGTGTGTTCGTGTGTGCACATGCACAATATATATACAGTTGTTTCTCCTTTGTTTTACACAGTCAACATGATTTTTCTTGGAGTTGTAATTCTTCTGTGGAAAAATGGTTTTTTCAATCCTTGTACATGGGATCCTGCCAACCTAGCAGTTCGAAAGCAAGACATTGCAAGTAGATAAATAGGTACCACTTCAGTGGGAAGGTAACAGCGTTCCGTGTGCCTTGGTGTTTAGTCATGCCGGCCACATGACCACGGAAACGTCTTCTGACAGCGCTGGCTCTTCGGCTTTGAAACGGAGATGAGCACTGCAACCCTAGAGTCAGATTCGACTGGCTTTCAAGCAAGGGAACCTTTACCTTTACCTTTTACATGGGATAAGTTCTCTTAGATACTTCCGGGTGTCCAACTGCACAGCTTCTCTGCTGGAATGTTTGTTGGTAGAAGAGATGGCAGAGATTTCTGCTGATTCACCCCTCCTGTTGCAGGGGGGAAAAACCCTTTTGCCTCCATGATGTTCCTCAGGATCTGCTGACCCACGAGAACAAAATCTCAGAGGCTCAATGAACATATACTTGAGTTGGCAACTGATTGCCTACGTTTACAGATGAAGACATTTTGATCCAATAAAAAGTGCTCCCAGTTAAACAGGCAGCAGACTTGAACATCGCTAAATTATTTTTAGTGCAGATATTTACAAAAACAGCAGGTGGATAATTCCATCTTAGAAAAGGCTTTCCCACTCACACCTAGGAGGCAATACCTCTTCAAAGATGTTGCCTGCAGTGGCTCAAATGCACAGGCTTCAGAGGAAGGGGAATTCCAGGGGCCATGGCCATTGTTGGGACATGGAGCTAGGCAACATTTCCTTTCTTATGATGCTTTAATTTGGTCTGGGAAGGGGCCAGAGACAGTCTATTTCTGAGGTGCCTTGGTTCAGCCCTGCCTCTCCCACGGCTGTCCAAGAGGTCCAGTATCATTTCCTGCCTCTGGCAACCTCATGGTAGGACTGCCAAGCCCTTGGTGGTAGTGGGGGATTCCTTGCCCCCAGTCCCATTGCCTGCTGCCACTTGGAGCAAGGGTGGGATAATTTTTTTTGTAAAAATGCAGCCTCGTGTACTTACCAGAAGTAACGAAGGTTAGCTCTAAGAATCATCAGAAACTCTATTTTAGTTTTACCATGAGTGTCTAGTGATTCCTAGAGCTACCCTTTGTGACTTCCTGGGCTTTGTCACTTCCTGGATTCCTAGAGCTATCCTTTGTTACTTCTGGTAAGAACCTCTAGTAAATACATGAGGCTGCATTTTCTTTAAAAAAATTATTCTGTGGTGGTGGGTGCCACCCAACCCTCCCACTAATTGCCAGGTTGTTAGCTGAATTGCTTTATTTACAGCAATTGGCAATTTATAAATGGGTCCTTGCCAACTATACCAAGGTCCTGTTCCCACCAAGGGTTACCAGTAAAAGATTTCGAGGCTGTTGTGGTCAGGGGTTGTTTCGTAGAAAAAGAGCTAGGGGAACTCATTACCATAACTCATTAGCATATGCCACACCCCCTGCCATCACCGGAAGTGTGTCATAAGACCGCACCCACCACTCAGTTAGTCTTAGTCTTAAAGGTTAGTCTTAAAGGTGCTATTTGTTAGTCTTAAAGGTGCTATTTGAACTCTTGGACTATTTTGCAGCAACAGACTAACACAGCTACCTCGGGGAAGCTCCTGGATGGGACTGGGAGTCCTTGCGGAGGCCACGTGGAGTGGCCTCAGCCAGGCAGAGGGGGAGGACTCCAACTTACCCTCCTGCTTCTTCCTCCTCCTGCAACAGAATGAGGCTGGAAGCAGGGGGCTGCCGGAAGAAGGGGGCGGGGCTTCGTTGTGTGCCCCGCCCCCCTGCACCTCACCCGGGGGAATTGTGTTCCCCCACGTTCCCCCCCGAAATGACCTCTGGTTGTGGTTAAAATAGATGTCCTTTACTTAAGAAAATAAATCTCATGCAAACAATACTGATGCACTGACACATTCAATCAAGTTCCTTAGAAATACAGTATTAAAATTAGCACAGTTGCATTAGCAGGTAGGGTGATGGTGGGCAATACTTATCTATCTTGCAGAGTAGTTGCTCCAATGAAGAATGGATGGGAAGAAATAGAAACTAGGATCCACACTACCAGAACTTAGCCGGACTGTGTGGGGGTCTCTTGGCTGCAGATCAAGAGATCAAAGTAGAGGCAAGGGTTTGGGGATAGCAAGTGGGACTCAAGGGGAGTATAAAGCAGACAGGGGTTGTTGCGGGGGTTGCTAGCTAGGAAGGGCCAGGTGAATGGTCCTTACCTTTTATAGTGGATCCATTAGGTGGGTGGTAACTGTTCCAACCTATGGATCCACCTACCTGTTAGTCCGTCCCAAAAACAATCCTATTGGTTTTCCTATAGGAGTGGGAGGTTACCTATAAGGAGTGGCCAATATTGTAATCTAAAACCTTACTCAAAGGATGGCATCTGGGCATGTGTGAAAACCTTGGCGTCAGGATGCTCCATTGTAGTGTTGATGAAGCTGGCCATTCTCTTTTTGAACCAAATGTCCATTTGGCAGGAAATACCAATGCAGGAACAAAGCAGTGATGTGTCCTCCGTGACCACAAATAATTCTGCAATGGGGGCTGTCTCTGCTCAAGCTATTGTTTCTTACAGCTCACAATAATGGGTGTGTGTGCTTCTTCACCATGCTGATAACTGTGTAGCTTAAACCTTATTCACACGTGTAAGGCTTGTGCAGGCACCTTCTATGTGTTGCATCACAACAGGTGACTTAAAATGTACAGTTTTCTGAGCCTGTGTGTGTGTGTGCACAGTCCATTGTGTGTAGCAATAAATATAGTCCATAAAGCAAAATATCAAGTTCATTCTCTAACAAGGTACCAGCAACACTACTTCATGGATGGATTCTTCCCCGCAGCCTTTTTCTTGATCTCAGACACCTGCCTGCCCCCTCTCCTTTGGAATCTCTTATTCATAGATCTAAAATCAGATTGTAAGCATGTAGACATGACCTGTCTTGAATTGTTTTGTACAGTGTCTATTATTTTAGAAATGAACAATAAATAGTAATATATGGTTTCTCTATTTCTCATTAAATGGGCATTGAATGCATATTCTTTTTATTTTTGCTTTTGGCCAGGCGTTCCGGTGAACAGATCTGGAGTGTTTCGATATTCTTGCTGTTCTTTCTTCTTCTGTATGGAATTCTGGGGGTCCAGATGTTTGGGCCTTTCACATTTCATTGTGTAACAAATGATACAGAGACAGGGTAAGTATAAAAACCAGGATTTCTCTAACTTTATTTCAAATGTTCTTCTATGTTGGGCTAAAGTAAATCTAGTTACCGTGCTGAAAGAAGTCTGTCGAGCAAAAAATGAGTCTGCTGCTGAATTTCACTAAAAGCAGAATTTGGCTTGAAATTCAAGGCTCTTATGAGTTGGAGTCCTGAAACACCTGATTGACTCATGGAATTTTTCAATTTTCCAGCAAACCTACCCTCTATGCACCACCTGTAAGAAGGCACCTGTGTATGAAATGCATTTTCTTGTGAACATCAAGGGTCTCCTTGCAGGCAAGCCTTTCTTGACACTGCATGTTAGGGGCACCTAATGGACAAAGCTTATCATCTTTCCTACCTCCCCCCCCCCCCCCCCCCCCGCTTGGGTAGAAATTTTTATCTGAGTGACTAGGATGTCTGCAGGTATCCGCTGCTTAGAGTTACATAATTGAAACCCCCTTCCCATTAAGCTTGGGGTGAATTTTGCAAATATTTCTCGTTGCTTTTCCCTCTACTTCAGAAATCAGAAGCCGGTTGTGCAAACTGAACAACCGGTCCCGATTCTTTTCTTATCCCCAGTCTGTAGCATGGAGTGCCAAGAGCAGTAGCTCTAAATGCTAGAATAAGCATCTGCAGTGCAGCCTGGGAGTGTAATAAAATCTCTGTTATATTTTGGAATACACATTGCAAATCCATATGATGGAGAACCCTGCCTGTGGGGTCACACCGTGTGCTTAGCAGCAAGTTTCAGACAGGTTCAGTCCCTCACTAGTGTTCCCCAGTATAACCCAATGGCGCCTGCTGGTACATGTCCTGGTGCCCACCATACTTTTCAGGAAGTGGGCGGGGCCATTGGAAGGCAGGGTCTGTGACTGGCTGCCTTTATTAAAATGAAGGAATTTCTGCACCTACAATAGCAGTCACAGCACTGGAGGATCAGGAGGACTGGTAAACATCTGCACTTTCCTTAGTTCATGGTTCCATTCCCTCTTCTGGCACCCTTGGGCTTACCTTTGTTCTTTTTATTCCCCTTCTCTCCCGCCTCCCATAAGTCCAGAAGCAGAAAAGAGTATTTTTTTTAAAAAAAGAGCTGCTATGGGCTAGTATTTCAGGTGCCTGGAACACTTTTCCTGGCCATTGTAGGGAACAGAACACCTTTTATAAGAATGAGGAGGGGGAGTACGGGGATATAATTTGCTCCTGTTGTATACCACTTTGAGCAATGAGGCAAAGTGGCAAAGAAATATCATAAGCAATTGTTTTTACCCATAGTGCTTGATGGAAAAATCCAGCTACGGATGAGAGATTACTTCCAGATAATCCTTTGTTCTCAGATCATTACAAAATTGGCCTGAGTGATGTGGCTTCTCCATCTTGGAGAAGGGCCAGGAGGCCAGTTGTTGTACTTTAGGCATACTATTACTACCAGACCATTCACTCTAGGCATTTTCCAGGCAAGATCCTTCTCTGACTTACAAGAGTGCCAAATGTGTGTGTTTCAGGTGGGTTGAAATCTTGGGGTCTTTTTTGGAAGCCTGGTAAGCCAGTGAGAGAGAGTTAAGACCACCAGTCACAAGGTAAAAGAAGGCAATTTCAATTCAGGCCCCTATGAATGACATAGAATCAGCTTGATGGGCAGGGCTAGGGCTGCCAACCTCCAGGTGGGGCCTGAAGATCTCCCAGTATTACAAATTATCTCCAGACTGCTAAGATCAGTCCCCCTGGAGAAAATGGCTGCTTTGGAGTGTGGCCTATGTGGCATTGTACCCTGCTAAGGCCCTTCCCCTCCAAAAAATCTTTCCTCCCCAGCCTCCAGCCCCAAAATCTCCAGCTGTTTCCCAACCCAGCTCTGGCAACCTCAGGCAGGGCCCATTCTGACCTAACAATTTTCAGTGGGAAAGAAAGATCCCTCCAGGAAACATTACAAAGCCAGTTATCTTTAACATGTAAACAGAAAGCTGAAAGTGTCAGCTTAAAGTTTGAGACACAGAAAATGCTTCATTTCACATACCACTATTTATGTTTCTCAAAAAAGGGGGAAAGAGGCATTTTAGGCCTAGCATCAGTTAGCTTTTCTTGCATATAGACCCTGACCAACTTGGTACCCACCCAGCTAACCATTGTCCACCAGCAGAACTATGTTTGAGTCCAGTGTCATCTTTCAGACCTTTAAGACCAACAAAGTTTTATTGAAGGTATAAGCTGTCGTGTGCATGCACACTGCTTCAGATACAATGAAATGGAAATTACCGGTCCACACATATAGGTAGAGGGTGAGCAGTAAATTAGCATACAGCATAATGAAGATATTTAACAGATTTTAGGACGAAACAGGAATAACAAGCTTAGTTTATATAGTTAACATTTGTTTGGGTTTAATTCCAGGGGGAAACATAGTGATGGAAGAAATGGTAACCATATAAACTAAGCTTGTTTTTCCTTCAGATCAACACACCTACCCACCTGAATCTACCTTCATTGTCCACCAGATATGTGTTGGCCTGCTGGCTGTGTGAGATTTTTAGCAGTCTCTGGCAGGAATTTTATTTTATAAATTCAGTTTTTTTATACCCTACTTTTCTTTCCAGTGGGGACCCAGACTTGCTATGTTCAAACTGCCTTTGTATTCCGTTTTAGTAACTGATTGCTAATAGAGTTTTTCTGTTATTTCAGACAGACCCATTTTAGTAACCAGCCGCTAGTGGAATATATTTACCTGTTCATACAAACCCACTTGTGTCGAGTTAGCAAAGTGTGGTTGAGATGCTTTTGAGGGAAACTGCTTTCTTCCATTTTCTACCCCTTCACTGCACTTCTGAATTGCTGTGGTATGCTGTTTAAAATGTCCATAGCATTTCCTACAATGCCGCTTCCCTCCACCCTTTTTCTCCACACCATCTTCCACAGACTTTTAAAAAAATGTTCTAAATTGAGCACTATATCGCTAAACCAATATAGCACTTCAGTGCTTATAGTGGCACCATTGAGTCAGTGGAGTCAAGGCATCTCAGTGATGCCACTATAGCACTTTAGCGCTTTGTGCTCAACTCAGAATGTTTAAAAAAAAGTTCAAAGAAGATTGCACAGTGAAAAGGGGCATGGAAGAAAGCGGCACTGTTTGAAATTACCATAGCACTTAAGAGATGGCTCATTAATGCAAGGAAATTCACTGTATGAAGCCCCCATCCCTGTATCACTGTATTTGAAATCGGACCAACAACGAATATCATCCGGTTTAGAACGGTAATGTGAAAATCTTCACTGTGTCACTGAGATCAGCATGACTGAATCAAGTATTTAGCTGCTAACAAAATTGCTTTTAGGGAAAATTGATTGGTTCATTTGGGTTTTTTTGCATTGTATGCCCCCCCTTTCTCTTGAGAGAAAGCTAAATCCCATTCTTCCCAGGAAGTTTCACGCTCATTATCTTGTTGTCATAATTGCTTAGTTATTCAGAGGTAGATATTTTTTTCTCACTATCTCATACTAGATGGTCTCTCTCTCTCTACACAACTAGTTCATCACTGTGCATAGTTTGCTTCCCTCCTCCTCTCTCTCTGTCCTTGATATCTCTTGCTATAAAGAATAATGCATAATGGTTGTTGTTGTTCAGTCGCACAGTCGAGTCCGACTCCATGGACCAAATGACACCAGGCCTTCCGGTCTTCTGCCGTCCTCTGAAGTTTGCTCAATTTCATGTTCGTTGCATCTATGACATTGTCTAACCATCTCATCCTTTGCCGTCCCCGTCTTCTTTGACCTTCAATCTTTCCCAGCATCAGGGTCTTCTCCAGTGAGTGCTCCCTTCTCATTTGGTGGCTTCAGTTTCATTATCTGGCCTTCCAGGGAACAGTCAGGGTTGATTTCTTTTAGGATTGACTGATTTGATCTTCTTGCAGTCCAAGGGACTCTCAAGAGTCTTCTCCAGCACCATAGTTCAAAAGAATCTATTCTTCGGTGCTCAGCCTTCCTTATAGTCCAACTCTCGCAGCCATACATGACTACTGGGAATACCATTGCTTTGACCATGCGGACTTTTGTTGGCAGGGTGATGTCTCTATTTTTTATCATGCTGTTTAGGTTCGCCATCGCTTTCCTCCCAAGGAACAGGCGTCTTTTAATTTCATGGCTACTGTCACAGTCTGCGGTGATCTGGGATCCCAGGAACGTGAAGTCTGTCACTACTTCCACAACTTCTCCTTCTATTTGCCAAGGAGTGATGGGACCGGATGCCATGATCTTAGTTTTTTTTATGTTGAGCTTCAAGCCCACTTTTGCGCTCTCCTCTTTTATCCTGAGCAAGAGGCTCTTTAGATCCTCTTCACTTTCTGCCATTAGAGTGGTATCGTCTGCATATCTGAGGTTGTTGATCTTTCCCCCAGCAATCTTAATTCCCGCTTGTGATTCATCCAGGCCAGCATTTTGCATGATGTACTCTGCATATATATTAAATAAGCAAGGTGACAATATACATCCTTGTTGTACTCCTTTTCTCCAGAAAACCCCATGGACAGTATCAAAAAAATGCATAATGGTATCGGAATGTAATTTTATGTTTTCTGAATGTTACAAATGGAATTAAACACATTCGGTGTTCTGCAGTGACTTGAGCATGCGGTTTGAATGTTGAAAGCCTCGCCTCAGACCCCCTCGTATCATAAAATAAACTGGGTTACAGAATGACTACAGTAACGCCTCACAAAATGTGGCTTCCGGTATCACTGTTTTGTTACTGTGCTCTTCCTCCTGTTGGTGAGGAGGCTGAATGGCAGCTCCACAGCATGGTTGGCATGGCTGGAGCTAAAAGACAGCTGGGCCAGAAGCGGTGAGAAGGTGGGGCTGACTGCCTGAGAAACTAGGCCTCAGGAGGAGCTGTGTGGTGGATGGAGAAGGTGGCCCCAGGGATTCCAAAAGGACGCCTCAACGTGAAAAGTGACCCAGAGAATGCTCCAGCATGGAAGCCACACAAGGGCAGTCAGCTGGCCAATGCC